TAGGGATGCACGAAGAGAACTGTAGAAATGTCCGTAGAGAATCCAAACCCAAGGGGTATTTAATCCTCTCAAACTTTTAGGTTAACCGGCCCCCTCCTCCTCTTCCATCTCCACTCAGTGAATCCTTAGGAACTTTTCCTTTGCAACTCTTTGGCCGCCATGGGGACATTTTGACTATATATGAACAAGTACATGTATCTTTCTTGTATATATTCTCACGTTTCTGGAGATGCAAGGATCAGTCAATGGAATGAATTATCTTGAATTATCTTGTTTCAGTCTCTCCTCTTAAACTCCTTGTCTTCTCATCCGATCTAATTCTCCTTCTCTTTCTCTTTCTTTTTCTAAAGCATTATGCTATGAAAGTAAGACTCCAACTCGGAGCTGAGAATGAGATATATGCTGTGAAAGTAAATCTCAGATACTTGGGTTTGACTTGGGAATTACATATTTCACCATGGATATTTTCACTTTTTGAAATAAGATAGAGATTTCCTTTCTTCTTTTTCTGTTCTTGATAAGAAAAATTTGAAAAAAAATCTCTTCTTTTTAAGTAGGTAAGCTGGATGAAGATGAATTGATGGAGATTGACTGTACTTTTTTGAAAAGGAGGAAATCATTATTGGTGGTGCACAATAATATTTTTGATGTTGGTGTGGGGTTGTCCACGTGCATGTATGTATATGAGTTTTAATTTTAGAGAATGTGAATGTGAATGTGAAAGCTTATCCACTGCATGGGCATGTGTGATATCTTCTTCTTATCGTCCTTTCTCATATATGTATATATATATATATATATATATATATAGTCAATCTTTCTTTTCTTTGGGGACCCATTTTGGAATAAAAGATTCTTATGGTCGAATTACAACTCTTCTTCTTTATATCTCCCAAGTCTCATCCACCAAAATTCTCTATATGCTTGATATGTTATTACAGTTATGAACAGAGTAAATATTTGGATGATATTAATCTATAGATATAGTTTGTTAAATTTTGGAAGTAAAAAAATGTTAAGCACTGGCTGGCCCCAAATGTTTTGAAATTTACATCCCAAAAAATAAAAATAAAAAATGATATCTATATGTGATGATGAGCAAATTCAATCTATTTAGTCCGACGTAAGTCAATTTTTTAGCCAAGTTTGGTTTTTTTTTTTTTTTAATTTTATATCTAGGTCGGATTACGAGCACCATAATACTCAAATTATCTTTCGGGTTTAAGTTTATTCACGTGTTAAAAGAAATCGAGAAAAAATATTTAAAAACTTATATTTAATAAGTTCATTCCATAACGAACTTGTTATTCACTCTGTACTAATTGTAATTATTCAAGATACGTAGATTTAATTTTGAAATTTTCGTTACTGCAATACTGTTATATTATTTTGTCAATTTTTTTTATCTTTCAGTTTGATTTTAATTATAAATATTTCAAAATACATTAAAATTAAATGAAAAGATTTATCCTTTATACAATTCTAAGAACAACTAATATTAATGCAAATAGATATTTTTATACTGAAGAGTTTCAGATAAGTGATTTTAAATTCAATAGAATCAGATGTATAATTATAAAGTATAAGATTTATTTATTTTCTAAAAAATACAATTAATTAAATAAATTTTTCGAAATAAGGAATATCTTAGATTGAAAAATTGACCGACTTAAAGATAACATAATTAGGAAAGTATTGAACTTTTTAAGTTGCATATAAGTTAGGTTGTCACTCTTTATCCCAACTTAAACAAATAGACATATTTATATATTAGCAAAGATGCTTTTAATTGTTTATTATTAAAAATTAATGTTAAAAAGGTCATACCCAACAGTAAAAAGAACTGATTTTTAAGATAATATAACAAACAAATAATTAAAAAAAATATCACATAAAATAAAGCAACTAATATTATTAATTTTTATAATTTAAAAAAATATTATTCTTGTTATTTTGTTGAATTTAAGGTTTTTGCCAAAGATAATAATATAAAAATAACAGAAATTAAAAAAAAAAAAAAAAAAAAGGAGAGAGAAAAAGGAGAGAATGAATGAATGAATGAATGAATGAATGATCCAATCCATGGGTGGATTGTACAGCTTGTTCTTCAAATCTCCCAACTCCTTCCTCTTCTCTCCTCCACCAATTTCCCACATTTTTCCTCTCCTCCTCTCATCCAAATATTTCTTCTGTAAAAGAAAGTTCATATTTTTTTAAAAAAAAAATCCATCTTTTTTTTCTAATTTTTTCAAAATAGTGGATTAATTCTCCACAACATTGCACTTTTCTTCTAGGGTTTTGAAATTGAACCCAATCCCCCAAAAACAAAGCTAAAGCTGATCACCTTCTGATTATACACACATACCCATATACACACAAGTATACACACGCAAATATACATATTTGTACAGAGAGAGAGAGAGAGAGGGAGAGAGAATCATTCACTTTTCTTTATCAGAGAATATAAAGAGATCCAACGGGCTTTCCTATCAGTTTTCTTTGACTAACTACTCTTTTTCCTGGAATTTTTTCAGAGAGACAGTGTTTATGTGTGTGTTTGTTTGAGTGCGTTTGTGTGCTTTTTCCCTTTCCGTTATGGAGAAAAAGTAGGTGGAGGGTAATATGTAGAAGGTTAATTTGTTGAGAGAAATGTTGGCAATGGAGAAGGATTTTGATGCAAAGCTTAGGATTAAGGGGAATTCATCCAATGGTAGCAATGTGCAGAGATCTAAGAGCTTTGCTTTCAGGGCGCCTCAGGAGAATTTCACCATCCAGGATTTTGAATTGGGCAAGATCTATGGTGTTGGTTCTTATTCTAAGGTTTGTTATTTTTTTCTTTTTACAGACAAATTATGTTTCTTTTTCATATTTCATTGATTTGGATTTGTTAGTTTAGTCTTTCTTCATGTGGATTTTATTGGGTTTATTTTAGTTTTGGCTTTGATTGATGGAAAGGGATTGCTGTATAGATCATTCTTATTAAATGTTAGTTTGATTTGTAAATTTATATGGGTAAAAATCAAATTTTTATCCTTGTGATTCCGTTGTGATAAATAAAAGTATGTCTTTGAAAATAACAATGTGTATGGCTAGTAGTTATGATTCTGGTTGGAATCAAGCAGTGAATTTGTTTATTTTGCCAGATAATTTTAAATGCTTCTACCATGAAACTGTTAGGATTTGAATATTTGTACCGTTGAAGGATAGTTGAATTTGTTTGGACATGTAAGGGATTCTAAAAATTATTTCTGTGGTGTTTGGGAATCCAAGGCCAAGCGGAGGAGCAGAAATGTGAATTTTATGCTCTTGACTGTTTTTCTTCCAGGAAAAGGGAAAGCTCTATGAGCTGTTCAAGTATGCTCAATTTATTTGAGTGCTGATTTTCATCTTATTTCCGGAAAGATTAATTTTTGGTATTTGAAGTTATTGGAGGTCTGATTTGTGGTTTTATCAGAATATAATATATTGGATTATGTGGGATCCTTGAAAAGTTTTGTTATTGAACATAGGAGCTTCTTATATGAGCAGTATATAAATAGTGAGGAAGTTAGGATTGTTCAGATTGTATAATAATATTGAGAAGGGACTGGTCGATAAGATCTTTGAACCATCCAGCTGGCTGTTTTGGCGGTGCCTTGTTTTTATGAGAACAATTCTTTTGGGGATGATGTTGATTGTTTGATCTTCTCGGTTCTTCAGACGAAACTAGTCTTGATATTCTTAGAAGGCAGATCTCTGGTCTTCCACTTTTAATGGTTTTATATAATTTAATGTTGTTATTCCAGTTTCCTCTTAGCTGTTCTCTGGTATGGAAGATTAGTTATGGGCCTTCAATAAATCAGCGTCTCATTGTTGCTGAAAGTTCTAGTTTTTATTGTATTCAATACACAAGTTAGTTTATTTGTTTTCAATTATTGACCGAATTTTCTTTCCCATATTTGAGCTTCTTGTTAGTTTGATTACTATAGGTGTTCGGATATGAAGTCTTGATTACTCCTTATGAAAAAGAAGTTTTAAGTACTCTTTTCGAGAAGTTTGATTACTCTTAAACATCATGTGATCAACATAATCAGGTTGTGAGGGCAAGGAAGAAGGATTCAGGAATTGTATATGCCTTGAAGATCATGGACAAAAAATTCATCACCAAGGAAAATAAAACAGCCTATGTAAAGTTGGAGCGTATTGTTCTTGATCAACTGGATCATCCCGGAGTTGTGCGGCTGTTCTTTACATTTCAGGATACTTTCTCATTGTGTAGGTATTCTTGGTTGTATTTCTTAAAAGTTTTATGTCCTTTATACTTGCTTTAGCTCTACTTCCTTTCTTAGCATTGCTTCTCCACTGAACTGTTTAATCTTTATCATGTTCTTCTGGTTCCCCCAAAATGATGTTGGTCTCTTTGATTATATTGTGAAGACATGGCACTCGAATCTTGTGAAGGTGGAGAACTTTTTGATCAAATAACCAGAGTAAGTTTGTGCTGCAAACTCCTCAGCATGTGTTCAGGTTACCTTAAATGTTATCTAATTTGTATAAAATATTTCATATTGAAAGTTTTGCTTCAATCACGTAATCTGATTTCATTAGGAAGCTTTGCATATTTTATCTGGATAATCAATGAATATGGTGGATAGTATGTTTTCTTTCAAATTGTTCTGGACTCAACAAAATCATAGATATCTACATAGCGGGTTTTAATATATTTGTATTTGAAATAAACAAGTTGTTTTGGTTGCTAGTTTCTCACTACACTTTATCAACCATCTGTTTATATGTTCTATGCAGAAAGGTCGATTATCAGTGGACGAAGCTCGCTTCTATGCTGCTGAAGTTGTAGATGCTCTTGAGTACATACATAGTATGGGATTGATACATCGAGATATTAAGGTACTTCTGTCTGACACATACCCTTTAAATTGCGATTTGAGAAGTGCTAAAAATTTCTTAATGGCAGCCGGAGAACTTGCTACTAACTGCAGAAGGACATATCAAAATTGCTGATTTTGGAAGTGTAAAGCATATGCAAGACAGTCGAATTACAGTCCTTTCCAAATGCATCTCAGGTAATATCAATTGGAAATAGTTCATGGTATTTGTGGATGTGAGGTTAAAGCAATTGTTGGTGGTTCCATGTACAGATGATAAGGCTTGCACGTTTGTTGGGACAGCTGCATATGTTCCTCCAGAAGTTCTCAACTCTTCTCCTGCAACTTTTGGGTGAGGGAAGCTCTTCTTGTTGCATGTTTGTGTTTTTGAGTTTGGGATTAGAATGCACGATGAGAACCAGCTATGTGAACAGATTACAACAAAATTGTCTGAGGGGAACTTGCATTTTCCTTTTCTCCTATAAGCAAATAATTTTTCTTAGATTTTTCTTTGGTCAATCTTATGAAGGATGACTTTTTTGTTCTTTTGAATGTACTCGAGCAGAAATGACCTCTGGGCACTTGGATGCACCTTGTACCAAATGCTTTCAGGAACTTCTCCTTTCAAAGATGCAAGTGAGTGGCTCATTTTTCAAAGGATTATTGCCCGAGATATAAGGTTTCCAAACTATTTTTCAGAAGAAGCTAGAGACCTTATTGATAGGTTGCTGGTAAGATCCAAACTTCTTTTGGAGTTTCTTTAGGTAGGGGTGGAGGGTCCTATGCCTTTTATAATTGAACTATCCTGTCCTATAATGTTAAAAAATGATTCTGCTCAATGCACAGAGAAAAAAGCATTTGATATAATTTTCTAAATATAATAAGTGGCTCATGATATAATATTATGTGAGAGACAAGAACTGATCAACATACTTCATGATTTTGGCTCTGTGGCATATAGGACTAATTTCTACGTACTTTGATTGTTTGAAAGCTGCCTTCTTGTAATGTATAATGGTGGAAGTCCAGTTGGATGCTTCCACTTTTTATAGTTCACTTGTTGAGAATACAATCCGTGAATATAAAATTTGTTTGCCATTTAGCTGGTTTTTTGCCTAATAGTCCAATATAAAAATTTGTGGTGGCTTTCTATCTTGCTTACATGCATGTCTGAGCAGTGAGCACCTAGGCTTGTAAATATAATTTTTGAACCAACTCCTTCCATTTAGGTAGCATATGAAGCTTTTGTTTGAGTTTCAAAGGATATTACTTAACCATACTTTAATTAGTATATAACTGTAACTTCACTTTGCAATATAATTTTGACTCAGGATATAGATCCCAGCAGGAGACCGGGTGCAGGAGCTGATGGTTATGCTGCACTCAAGTTGCATCCCTTCTTCACAGGAGTTGACTGGAAGAATGTAAGGACACAAACCCCTCCGAAACTTGCTTTGGAACCAATGGTATGGCTTCTGGTGTGCTTGAAAATTCCATAGAACTTTCCATATTTATTACCACCTCATTTCCTTTAGAACTCTGAATATTTTGGGTCCTGTCTCTTTAACTTTCAGGCTCAATCAGTTGAGGCTGATGATCCTAATGATTCTTCATGGAACCCTACCCATGTTGGGGATGGTTCAGTCAGACAAAATGATGGGCCCGGTCCCTCATCCACGTCTGAAGCATCTGGTTCTATAACTAGACTTGCCTCAATTGATTCATTTGATTCAAAATGGTAAGTACTTGCTGTGTTTTATTTAGTTCCTCGTTGGGTTAATAGGATATGAATGTTATGCACACTAGTTTTTTTTTTGCTAATTTTGAATGGGAAGTTTTAGTTTTATTCAGTTTTGTCACCTCTGTCAGTTAAATATATCAGACTTGACATTAGAGTTTCATTCAGTTTTGTCACCTCTGTCAGTTAAATATATCAGACTTGACATTAGAGTTTCATTCAATATAATGTTAGTGAAGAATGCCTTCTGTTTTCTTTTGTATCTCTTTGTAAATTATCAAAAGATATAGGATTTAGCAGTTTCTATATCCTGAAAGCTATACATGCTCCTGAGGACCTGATGTGTGAATCTATAAACTTGACCGTGCTGATATGATAGATTCTAATCTGGGACTGTGCTTGTGGTAGTTGAACATCACCAAGAATTATGTATAACTTGTTGTGAAGGATCTATAATGAATTCTTCATATCATTTTTGTTTTATTTGTTTCTTTTTCTTTCCTCTAAATAATATAATGGATTTATTTATTGGGTTTAAACTTTTAAATTTTAGAATAAGTTATGTAATGCATGGACCTTTTCTTCCCTTTGTGTCTAGCCGGAAAACATTGAAAAGAGGGGTCGTTTAGAGTTTAGACTTCGATTTCCATTTTCGAGCCCTCAGTTATTTAGAGTAAACATTGTCTTGAGTTGACAAAATCACAGCATCTGGGTGGATACTGTTCCTGCATTATCTGTGCCACTTTTGCCTGGTCACCATCAGTTTATGTCTGATCTATGTGTTAAATATTGTCAACAGGCAACAGTTTCTGGATCCAGGGGAATCTGTTCTCATGATCTCAATGGTGAAGAAACTGCAGAAGCTGTCAAGCAAGAAGGTGCAGCTTATCCTCACCAACAAGCCAAAACTAATTTACGTGGACCCTTCAAAGCTCGTCGTTAAAGGAAACATAATTTGGTCTGACAATTCAAACGACCTCAGCATACAAGTAACTAGTCCCTCCAATTTCAAGATTTGCACGGTAAATTACCCTTTTGTCCTTGAATCAAAATTTCCTCCAGATCGGTGCAGTTTGCCCATCACTGTGGGACATGTCTTTTGTGTATCTATTTGCCTACATGCATGTGAATATGTGGCTTGCTCCATAGGCAGCTTTTGGCCTTTACAACTAAGATTTAAAGCGAAAAGTTTTTGGTTTACTCGATACGAAACCCATATCTATTTGTTTTGTCTTAATCCTTAGCTTTATCATGTTTTCACTTTTCAGCCAAAGAAGGTCTTGTCTTTTGAGGATGCAAAACAAAGAGCCTGGCAATGGAAAAAGGCCATAGAGGGTCTTCAGAACCGTTAATAGCCAAATAGGGCTTTTTTCTTTTTCATCAAGCCATTTTTTGCTGATGTAGAGGAGGGATGAAGAATTCTTTGCGAACCCAGAGAAATATTTCTTCGACAGAGGAATTGAGATTCGAGTTGCAGTTTCTGCTGCTTCAACTGTTTTCACTTTCCCCACTTTGTTGAATGAAAGTGTTTGGGAAGAAGGAAAGTTGTTGTCTGTCCATTTAAAGATGTGTATGAAATGAGAGGATTTTTGGGAAGAAGCAAGAGCTCATTTCTTTTTTATTGTATCCAAAGTTACTGGTCATTAATGAAAAATTCCATTCCTTGAAATCTCAAGGATAAAATTACTCTTACACCCTCTGCATTACATATATATATATATATATTATGATAAATTTTGAGAATTTTGTAAAGATTTATCCCCTTTCATATCAAAATACTAGTAGTAGAGATAATAGTTTAAAGGCAACATTCGAATGAATTTAAGAACAACGTTTGCAGTATTGAGAGCAGCCAAAGATCCAAATGTGTCAATTGCACTTTTTCCAGTCTGTGCTCCTGCTAAGTCTGATAGGCCTCTGATCACTATCACTGGATACCCATTTGACAAGCATGTCTGCCATAACCCACCATTCTAGTTAGACAATAAGCAAAGATGTATACATACACACAATATTGTACTTATGTATCCAGAGCTAGGGTGGTATGTGGAATGATCTTGAATGAGATTTCCCTAATTGCCAAGGTTTGTTTTACACATTTTTTTTGAAATTACAGATATTACTCATAATCTATTTATACATATTTATCACAGAGAGAGTAAATGAGAGAGAAAACTGACCATCGCGATAGCAGAAGTTTCCATATCTGTAGTTGTAACGTTAAAATTACGAAAAAGAAAATCTCTATATACACCATTGTCCACAAAAATGTTGGCTGTAGAACCATTTAATCCAACTACTAGTTTTGGCTCTTGAGGAAGACACAAGCTTGAATTCACACATTTTTTCAATTTCATTCCCTAAAAGATCATTAATATTGTTAAACAATCATACGAAACACGAAAAATATAAAGTATTATATAATTAGGTTCTGAGAATTTTACATACACTGAATGAAATTAAAAATTTACTTTAACAGTATCGTTAAGAACAAATACCTCCAAAAGAGTGGCAAGTTGAAGCCATTTCGGTGTGATTTGAGCCCAAATCAATTGAATAGAAGTGTTAGGGTTTTTCGACTCAGAATGAAAATCCTCTGGACGGAAAGAAATGCGACCCAATAAGTTGGTTTCATTTCCTTTAGGGACATTATAAGTTCCAAAATCCAAGTGAGCAATGCTGTTCAATTCTAATGTTCCATTCACCTTCTGCCATCAGTATAAGTTATTTTATTATATTAGACAATTCAAAGGTTCTTTCCATACTACAAATATATATATATATATATATATATATATACACACAGATACAAACTTTACCATCCAATCCCAGATGCCAGTATTTGCAACTTGTTTTAAAACTACAACATCTCCAATTGACATTGAATTGTTTAGATTCCCAGCAATCCCAAAGTGGACAATTCCCACAATATCAAACAAATCCACCATTTGCTGTGTAGCTGCAGCTGCGTTAACCTGAAACGACGTAGTTTAAATACCCCCAAAAAACGACGTAGTTTAAATACCCCCAAAAAACGACGTAGTTTAAATACACTCCAAAAAACGACGTAGTTTAAATCCCAACAAATGCATAACAGTTATTTACCATTCCGATCCCACATCTCACATATATCACTGGCTTCCCATGGATCTTCCCAAATCGAAACCGTCTCCCTGTATCATCATCATCGTCATCATCTATGAAACTCGAGAAAAAGATTTGATGCAGTGGACTTACCAGAGAGATCAACGTACGGATGTTTAGGATTAGGTTTAAATCCTCCGGTGGAAAAGAAAGCATCTTCCTCGCGAGAATACACTGAAATCAGACCAATGTATGGTCCTCCAGCGTTTACTTTTTTTATTATACTCGAAGGTCGAAGCTCATTTGGTTTCAGAGATTTTACAGAAAAAACCAGTAAAAACACCACAGCTACTACAAGCTGCAGACACGAATCCATGGAAGATGCCATTTGCCTCGTTCGCCTCAAATAGATTGCTCCTTTTCTAGCTTGAAACTGAGAGATACATGCATATATACTTATACGTATATATATTTATATATATACACACAGACAGAGGGAAAGATATAATCATAATTATTATTATTATTTAATTAAAAAAATAAATACAATTAACTTTATGATTTATAATTCTAATTTTATAAAAAGTAGTCAGATATATTAAATTTTTAATTAAATTTAAGATATTATTTTTTATTCTTGTTATTATTTTTATTTAATTATTTAAAGATATTATTTTTGATATTATTATATGGAGCTATCAACGTGGAAAATGAGTTATATTATATATTATTTTTCTATTTTATTTGTTGAAAAACAGATATTGATTAATTAATTACTCCAGGCTGGCCTAATCATAAAAAAAAAGTATTTAATTAATATTTTAGAAGAAAAAAAAGTCACGTCACCATTATGTATTATATATAAACATAGTTTAAAGTAGAAAGCAATAACTAATAATAGCTTAGCTTAGTAATTAAGAGTTGAAAATTATGAATTCAAATTTTATTTAAAAGATAAAATTTATTATTTTGTGTATGTATTATGAATCATGATCATTGACTTATAATGTTTAATTTAGTGTGACAAAAAGTTAAAATTCTTAATATGTTGATGATATTATAATGATTAAATTAAATTAAATTTTTAAATTAAAAATATATTTTTTAATAATTAATTTTTTTTTAATTAGAGTAATATAATAGTTTAAAATCCAGTGTAATATTTTTGCATTAAAAAAGGTATAAACACTATGTTATAAGTAAAGAAACAATTAGTATAACTTTTTTTTTTCTTTATTAGATTAATTCAAGATAAAAAAATTAAGAATCTTCCTCTCTTAAAAATAAAAAAAAAATAACTTATATTTTATCTGTATTTTCAAAATTAATTTAGTTAACCGAATTATCACATATTGAAAACATAAAAAATATATTTTTTTAACGACTGAATTAATAATTTGGTCCTCATACTATTTACTTTTACAAATTTTTTAATTTAACCTCTCATCATTAATAGAAATTAATACTTTTAACTTAGATACTACGTATCAAATTTATTGACGTATAATAACTTATAATTAATTCGAATATTAATTAAATATAACGCGAGATACTATATGATATATAACATTACATTATAAAAAAAAAAAATCATACGAGAATCGATCCTCATTGACCGGTCCAACTCATGCCCTAAATCCTCATTCTCTTCTCTATTACTGTGTTGCTTAGGAAGCTCAAAGATTAATTGTCCACCACTGAGGCTTCCATGCCTACACAACATGGATGCCTTCTGGTGGAACCCAAAGAATTCTTCTTGTAAACTATTTGCCTCAAATTTAGTCTTCTCATCATTTGAATCATATGGAAAATCAAAGGGGTTTTGTCTAGGCAACGAGCTGGATGGTGCAGACCCAGGAGTGGTGATAATCCCAAATCATGATTGGAGTCATAAGGAACACCAAATGGATTATACTTGGTAGTGATAGGTGGAATAATAGTAAAAGGAACATCAGCACTATCCAGGTCGATAAAATTTTTTTCGGTAATAAATCTCGAGTTTTTATGAGAGATTATCTTGAAATAGATTTCTTTGACACATGACATGTAAGTTGAAAATATTATCTTTTATTGAGAACAACGACTGATTTAAAAATATTTCAACAATATTAAAAATTAATTTGATCGAAACTAATTTGAACAAAAATAAATAGTATACGAAGTAAATCATCATTTTAGAATACATAAAAAATTACTTAAATACTACTATTCAAAATACTAAATACCATTAAAAAAAAATAAAAATGATGCAAACATATTTGTAACACACAATATCTATCACAAAAAAAAGTTTTTTATGAAGAAAAAAAATTATGTCAGATATTTACCGTACTGTAACTATTTCAACTAAAGAAAACTAATTGTCAAACTATTTTTTGCCCAGAAATATAATAATTGAGAATTAATCCGACTTAATTACTACAGTATCCACTAATGCATTAATAAGCTAAGTTCTTGGAAACATCATAAGCTTAAGTTCTTGGTCCCAATGAAGAAGAAAACATCATATGACCTTAGATCTTAACTGGGGAGGTACTAACATCATATATTAACAACCTCAAAGTCAAACACTGCCTTTCAAAGAGAAAAAGAAAAAGCATCAGTCCTCGGCATAATCAGTTGGATCTTACAGGTATTACCCCATTCTACTACAAAACATTCAAATATTATACCATCAACAACAAAGTACTTTGTATTTAGTAATTTAGCATTATCTATGTTGATAAGCAAAGAAGAAACACAGGATGGGGGGAAAATAATTATAAAGCTCAAACTTCATGGTTGCTGAGTTCTAACAAAAAGAGAAGAAGTTTCACAACCCTAAAGCAACTAAACTTCACATTCACACAGTAAGAAGTAGTCTGAACAGAATTTTTTTTTTATATATCCTTTGTACAAACCAACTAAAGGATATTCATGTAGCATAAGAATCTTCGTCATCTGCTGGAGTTTGGTCGTCATCATCAGGTGACTCCTTTTTGGCATCCCTCTCATTTCTCTCTGTCCATCTAGCCCATACCCACCTTAGGATAAGGAACCCACCAAGAGCATAAACCTGGAAAGGATATTTCTACTTTAATGGCAGAAAATAAAACAAAGGAGAGAAACTAAAGATATCAACCAAACGAATTTATAAATTCTTTAAAGATCTGAAACTTTAGTGCATAGAGGAACAACCAGAAAAATCTCAACATAATTTACAGACTTAGTATCCTCATTCTTGACTTCTCTCTGGTTCGCAGGATTTCCGAAACTTGCTCAGAGAAATGATGGCGTATTATAGAAGACCATTTTCCTAAAGCAAACAGTTGATGGATATAGCCATCGAGGGTTCGGCCAGGGGCAAGGAAAATAAGGAACTAGATTTTTGAACTGAGAAGAAAAAGGGTCCAGGACTCCAGGTCATAAAGGAAAATGATTAGCAAAAGACTGGGGATAAGTATTGCAATGTATCTTCATTAGTATAGTAACAAACACACAACAAGGAAAGGCCAAGAAGTTGCTATTATAATATAGAGAATCTTCCACATATATCATCACAGGTAAAAAGAGCCAAACTAGTATTATGAAAACAGTATATGATAATGGCACTGAAAGGACGATATCACAGACAAGTAACTGTAAACTATTGTGCAAATGAACATAAAAGAAAAAATGTCCACATGTGTGTATGGGAACCTAGATTTCCAGAAAGCAAAAGTGTCCTTGACAGCTAGTTTAGTGCATTTTTCCACAAGCTGGCTAGTGAAAATATCTTAATTGTGAAGCATCATTTTTTCAGTTAGCATCTTTGCACCTCTATGAAAAATTGGACTGAATAAATCAGTTAGAAACATTGTCATAACGGAAGAAACCCTTTTTATATAGAAACATTAAAATATGAAAATATGAAAAATTTGGTGACTAGAACTGAAAATAATATCACTGCAAATTAAATAAAAACAATATACAGAATAAAAACGAACTGCACCTATTAAGCAAGAAGTTTTGGACCAAAGTTCCTTTGGGTCAAGCATCTTATATGCAGACATGTATCTTTTATTAGCAAAATCGCAAGAAGTTTTGTATTAAAGTTCCTTTGATTCAAGCATCTTATATGCAGAAATGTATTTTTTCCAAGGTAAACGTAAATTTTATTAACCAAATCCTTGGGAAATAAAGATAACACACATACAACCAAAGCAAACAAGCAAAAGAGGCTACTGATGAGCTAGTTACGGAAAAAGAAGAA